AGGGTTCTGGTCCAGGTCTCAGGGTTCTGGTCCAGGTCTGAGGGTTCTGGTCCAGGTCTGAGGGTTCTGGTCCAGGAGGGTTCTGGTCCAGGTCTCAGGGTTCTGGTCCAGGTCTGAGGGTTCTGGTCCAGGTCTCAGGGTTCTGGTCCAGGTCTGAGGGTTCTGGTCCAGGTCTCAGGGTTCTGGTCCAGGTCTGAGGGTTCTGGTTCAGGTCTGAGGGTTCTGGTCCAGGTCTCATGGTTCTGGTCCAGGTCTCAGGGTTCTAGTCCAGGTCTCAGGGTTCTGGTTCAGGAGGGTTCTGGTCCAGGTCTGAGGGTTCTGGTCCAGGTCTGGTTCTGGTCCAGGTCTGGTTCTGGTCCAGGTCTCAGGGTTCTGATCCAGGTCTGGTTCTGGTCCAGGTCTGGTTCTGGTCCAGGTCTCAGGGTTCTGGTCCAGGTCTCATGGTTCTGGTCCAGGTCTCAGTGTTCTGGTCCAGGTCTCAGGGTTCTGGTTCAGGAGGGTTCTGGTCCAGGTCTGAGGGTTCTGGTCCAGGTCTGGTTCTGGTCCAGGTCTCAGGGTTCTGATCCAGGTCTGGTTCTGGTCCAGGTCTGGTTCTGGTCCAGGTCTGGTTCTGGTCCAGGTTTGTGAGTGGTCAGTCTGCTCATCAGAACTCTTCCTCCTCCTCCTCTTCCTCAGACTGACCGGTGACGTCACACTGATGATCCATAAACGGATCAGCTGATTCGTCCTCTCGTCAGATTTCCCGCCGTGCCCGCTGCAGGGCAGTTGTCATGGTAACAGAGCTCCGGCCGCGCGCCTCAGTGACTCACGGTGGAAAAACGACAGCGACGAGCGAACCGGTACCGACACCGGAACCGAACCAGCTGCTCGCGACATGGACGAACTGCTGATGAGGCTGATAATCCGCAGTGACGTCACAGCGACTGCAACAACACGCCGACATCAAAAGGTGACCGACTGTTGCCGTGCCTGAGGCAACAACATCGGTCCGGTTCGGCTCGGTTCGGCTCTGAAAGACCGACCGTGCAACAGCTGCAGGACGACAACAAGCTGCAGGAAACATGTTGCTGCAACCAGAGACATCACAGCAGCCAGTGAGGAGACAGGTCTACCTTCAGTAGCTCCGCCCCCATCAGCAGGTGAGCTGCAGTTCACCTGGACACCCCCAGTGTTCCATCCTGTCCTGCACTGTGCTGAGCTGAAGATATTTTACTAACAGAGCTGTCAGGTTAGAGTTTCTGCTCCTGTCTCACAGGTGGACACATGTCTCTGTTCAGGAGGACACATGTCTGTCTTCAGGAGGACACATGTCTTTCTTCAGGAGGACACATGTCTCTGTTCAGGAGGACACATGTCTTTCTTCAGGTGGACACATGTCTTTCTTCAGGAGGACACATGTCTCTGTTCAGGAGGACACATGTCTGTCTTCAGGAGGACACATGTCTCTGTTCAGGAGGACACATGTCTTTCTTCAGGGGGACACATGTCTCTGTTCAGAGGACAAATGTCTCACTTCAGGAGGACACATGTCTCTGTTCAGGAGGACACATGTCTTTCTTCAGGAGGACACATGTCTGTGTTCAGGAGGACACATGTCTTTCTTCAGGAGGACACATGTCTTTCTTCAGGAGGACACATGTCTTTCTTCAGGAGGACACATGTCTCTGTTCAGGAGGACATATGTCTCTCTTCAGGAGGACATATGTCT